TCTTGACTGTTTTTATTGCAATGCCAAAGTTTATGTGGATGAAGGTAATGATGTCGGTAATCTTATTTGCAAGATTGATATTCAGTTTGTCAAAGTTTTCCTCTTACCTTGACTTTACAAATTTTGTTCAACAACTTTGGTTTTGATCATGTGATGGTTTTGCTCAGTTACTTGAAGATCCTGTATCATATGTACATGACTTTGTTGTTGTACCTGGAAGGATGCTGTCTGGGAGAGGCAATATACTTGTTTATCTAAATGACATGATTTTCCGTGTTGTGAAAGGTAATCTGATGCTCCATAGATGTGTTGTATTTCTATTCTTTTATTAATTATGCGGTAAAATATGACTTAAATTAATTGGCCTCTGCGTTTATTTGATGATCCATCTTGACATATTGCTGTTAAAAGATACAGATCTCTGAATAATTCTTGTTTGCAATCTTTCCATGAGATGTAAATGGATGTACAGAACTAAACAAAATTTATGAAATTATGTTGGTCAGAATCATCAATTTGTGTTGGTTGATCTTAGATTTTGGGCGAGTAGAATTTCTGACTAATTTTCACGTTTCCTGGTAGCAGGACTGGTCGGTATCTTTTTCTTCTTTTGGGGTAATCTATTTTCAGTAATTAATGTGCTGCTTTTCATTTTGGTATGCACAGATGGGACTTCTGTAATAAAAGGGAAAGTTGAGATGCGGGCCCCAAGGCTTCATTACGTTCATCCTAGATATTTTGAGGCAGGCAAGCCCATGGAGTTTGTTGCCTGTGGAAGTGATTTATTACAACCCAAATTTCGGTAGGACTTCCTTTCAGGGTTTTCCACCTGTTGATAGTAGTTTATTGTGTTGTATTTTGATTCAGCCCCTTTCAGTTCTGTCGTTTTGAATCATGTGTTATTATGATAAGGTAGCTTTTCATGAACACGACACTTCCTATCAACTGTAAGACTAGATTATAATGGAGGGAGGGGAAACTACTTGGTGACACTCTCAACAGTCTACATAGACTTGTCACTAGTACATAATAGCTACTGTTCTTTGTTGGTCCAAAAGTGTAGCACTGATAGTGTGATCTTGGAAGTGCTAGAATGTATTGATCAGAGATGTATATCAATTATGGCAGATCTGTAGTTGTCTGATGGCACATGCTGATTACTCTTCTGATTGTATCCAAATAAAATAATTCTGATTAATTTAAAGTTTTGCAGTCAGGTGTATGTTCTATAATATTCTGTTTACTTGTTCCATGTATGTAGAGAGCAGAATTATTGTCAAGTAAGTTGCCTAATAAAGATCATTATGGTGACAGGTTTCTTGTATCCTTCTCTGGAAAGTATCTGGCTTATAATTACTATCCTGAATCTTCTCCTAGTCAGATTGAAGGTGACACTGCTACTAACTTAGACCATCAATTATACAAGATACATGTCCCTCAGACTGAAGCAAATCGTTTTGGTCCTGCATTTATTGAGGTAAATTTTCTGGGCTCTTTTCTTTAGCCTCCTTATGGTGTATATTCTTGTCTGATCATATCTCCAGACTCCAGCGATCATAATAGTGTTGTGGTATTCCATCATGCTGACAAAAGTAAAGATAGTGTTATGATATGCATATTGTTGCTTGCATGGGTGTTTGACCATGTTTCTGCAATGCTGATTACTGATATGTGTCAAACACTTGATATTCACTATGCAGTAAACCCTTTTATGACCAGCGATTTATAATTTGATATGCAACTTCTTTGATTGGTTAATGCATTGATGAGAATTGTTGGTCTTGAAACATGGTATGTAGTCAATTATGTAGCTATTGCTGATAACATTAGCCATAAGCTATATCTGTGGACTGGAATCTGCGATAGGTATATGGAAAATAGTAGGATTCATATAGATAAATTTTGAGGTTCACATGGAGACAGAAGCATAGTTACAAAAGCATTTTAAAGCATGGTACTTGGTTTTTAACTTGCCAGGATTTTCTTTGCCTCATAATTTATCTTTGGATGAATCTATATTGCAGATTGAGAATGAATCTGGCTTATCGAACTTTCTACCCATACTCATTGCGGACAAGGAGGTTTGTGCAGAAATGAATACTATTCAGAAGAGATATGAAGAATCTTTCTCTTTGCAAGGATCACGCTTTTCTTCTAGTGGTTCTCTGTCAGACTCTTGTGAAGCATCTTCCCTGAGACACACAGCATTTTCTGAAGTTATTTTAGATATAGCATGGTTACTTAAAAAGCCCTCATCAGAAAATTTTCAACGGATCATGACTGTTTCACAGATCCAAAGATTCAACTATTTATTGAACTTTTTGATATCCATTAAGTCAACAACCATATTGGAGAAAGTTTCACAAAATTTGAAGACTCTGATGGATAACATGGAGTTACACAGTGCAAATGATGGCACCAGTGATGCTGACATGAGGCTCTTAAAGAATTACATGGATTATGCCCGTGATCGTCAAAAAATTGACAACTCTGGGGTTTTAGTACCATTGTCTGGAAGATTGGTGCAAAAAGAGGATATTGTTTCTCAAAGTCAAAGCTGCTTTCAGAATGTTGGAAATTTGGTTGTTCCGTTACAATGTCAGGTGAGAACTTCATTCAATTTTGGTATGGTGATTATTTCTTCTTCTTCTTTTTTTTTGTGGGGGGGGGGGGGGGGGGGGGGGGGGGGGGGGGGGGGGGGGGGGGGG